CTCAAATATTCGATTTACATCAAATTATATATTTTTGGGTTACATATTTAGTTTAGCAACATTATTACAGTAATAACAGGTATAAAAAATAATACTTTGGAACTGATTTATTAATTTTATTATTTCGAAGCCGTAGATCACTGAACGGTAGCGACGAAATCGAACAAAACAAGCATGGTGTTGTGTGGACAGGGATTAGACTCGTCCACTCGTGCTGGAGTTGTGCCGCCAATAACGTGAATAATTTGTCAAATAGCAGATATCTATCATATTTCAATATATTTTTGGTTTTATTTAGTTAAGTTTAATTAGGATAATAAAGCATTATTAAAACACCAGTTTTAGAAATGATTTATTAATGTGAAACGTTCAAAGTCGTGGCTCGCTGAACTATGACAACACAGACGAAAGTGAGTGAAACCTCACTGTAAAGTGAGGTTTATTGTACAGTATTCCCTTATCTGTCCACCCTCACTCATCTTGTTTCATCACAGAAAATGTATATAAGAAGATTCCAACACATTAGCTAGGTATACACGCTTCAGCCTTTAAATTAATTTACAAAGATACGTGTGCCACAAATCGGTGAACGAAAATCATTGAAACTCAGTCGTTCACTTGTGTGGACCACTCTGGTTGGTGTTTGGTTAATATGTGTCACTTCTTGTGGACCATTCTGGCTGGTGTTTGGTTCATATGATTCACTTGCTATGTGGTCCACTTGTGTGATCCAACTTGTCTTATGAAGGAATTATTAATTGTAATCTGTGATAGAATGAGACAGTTTTCCACCACTCTGTGAACTCTGTCCCAACATCATAAGCTTGTGGACCACTTGTGGACCACTTGTGCAGTTCACTTGTGTGATCAAACTTGTCATATGAAGGAATTAATAATTGTAATCTGTGATAGAATGTGAAAGTTTTCCGCCAGTCTGTGAACTCTTGTCTCGACGTCGTAAGCAAATCCGAACATCTCCCGCTTTGGCGAACCATTGTTCGTCGAACCGGGTGAGTAAATCTGGCCTGAAAAGTGTGCGAACTAGCCGAAGATTCGTTGAATCGGGGTACGTTGAATCGAGGTTGTACTGTATTTATAAAGAAATGCAAAGTGTGGTAGCACAGGCACTCGGTATAGTGTGGAGGAAGAGCTTGGACACGGGGGAGATACCAGATGCACTTAAAGTAGCAGACATAGCCCCTCTACACAAGGGAGTGAGCAAAGCATTGGCAAATAATTATAGACCAGTTGCACTAACGTCGCACATAATAAAAGTATTTGAGAGAGTGATTAGGAGTCAGGTCACCAATTTGGACATCCGTGGACATCTTCAAGAGGGAACTAGATTGTTTCCTCCTAGGAGTGCCGGACCAACCGGGCTTGGGTGGATATGTGGGCCTGCGGGCTGCTCCAAGCAACAGCCTGGTTGACCAAACTCTCACAAGTCAAGCCTGGCCTCGGGCTGGGCTTGGGGAGTAGAAGAACTCCTAGAATCCCATCAAGCAGGTATACCTCATGCCTGTTTAACGGCTCATGTGTTGGGTCATTTATCCTCAGTTTAACCCTTAAAGTGCGCATCACGTCATATGACGTGCTGGACGTTGTTCCAGTCAACTGCACATCACGTCATATGATGTGTTGGAGTACTACGCAAGATTTAAACAGCCCGCGGATACACGGGGTTCACCACACCTTCATCAGGGCTCTTGTAAACAGATGCCATTTTAAAAAAAAATCGTGGGCCAAACTCCCGGGTGTTATTGGCCTCAGTACTGTCTCCACTCGATCATCCGGACTATATGGGAAGGACCCCCAGCCGGTTTATCACATTTTTCGGATAATGGTACTTTTTCACCTACGAGTCCAAAAGTGACCATTTCCAACTATTTTTATACTACAAACAACATAATTTGAATTGCCTTGCCACATACAATTATTAAATATTCAACTAGAAACCTCAACTTACCTTGTTGGTGTTCGTCTTCTTGATTGATGCCACACATCTTGAAGTTAAAAATTCTTAACAATTTACGTAACCTATACTAACACAACACTAAAATTAACACTTAAAATTACTGTACAGTTCATTAAGCTAAGTTAGTTTTGACTGCCAGCTGCTGAAGCCTCACTGGTTGAGAGCATTTGGGTTGCCTGTGAGGCCTCACTTGTTGAAGGTGCTTGCTTGCACCTCACTTGTTGAAGCGCTTGCATGCCCTCACTTGTTGAAGGCGCTTGGCTTGCCTGTGACGCCTCACTTTTTAAAGGCGCTTGCTTGCGCCTCACTTGTTGAAAGCGATTGGCTTGCCTGTGGCGCCTCACTTGTTGAAAGCACTTGGCTTGCCTATAATGCCTCACTTGTTGAAGGAGCTTGGCTTGCCTGTGGCGCCTCACTTGTTGAAGGCGCTTGGCTGCCTGTGACGCCTCACTGTTTGAACAACACGTAACTTGTCTTTAATTGCTAGGACAATCTTCTTCCTCTTAACACTTCCAGAACGATTGATGCTGCTACCAGACATATTCTTGGCCAAAAATGTTCAAAATTACTATGAAAATTAAGAAAGTTATTTAAAAAAATATTTCACTAATGGCGCAACACTGTGAGGCCGCACTGGTTGAGGCGTATAACTGTGACTTGTCTTTAATTGTTAGGACAACTTTCTTCCTCTTAACACCTCCAGAACGATTGATGCTGCTACCAGACATAGTCTTGGCCAAAAATGTTCAAAGTTACTATGAAAATAAAAAAGTTATTTAAAAAAATATTTCACTAATGGCGCAGCACTGTGTATAACACGAGGGACGGACGCACATGGGTTGACCAGTGTTGGACAGGTCCACTTGGGGCAGCCATAGCGCGTTATGTAGGCCGCCAGGAGGAAAAATTCACAATATTTTTTAAGGAAACTTCAGCCTGTGCACAATGCTTTTAGGAAACTTATTTATTTGTTATTACATAATTACTAGTAGTTATTTTATTTGTTTTTGGCTATGATTAATTGTTCTAAAATTAATGGTAATTCCTGTACCCAGGTAGTCCCTCCTGACGCACCCCTCCCACCCTCCCAACACCACCCACCCACCCCACCCCCACCTACACCATGCGCCTCGAGTCTCGGGCAGACGGGACCGTATGGCCTGCCTCATGTTTTCATATACGGACAAAGGCACGATTATCTGGGGGACTGACCGGATAGTGTAATTTCTGCAGAAAACCTGCTTTAATCCGGTCCCTGTGGCTATTTTGGCCGGATATTTTGGTAACTTTATCCGTTCACGATTTTGGCCGTATAAGGGCGTTTTTCGGATGTTCGAATCCCGGATAATCGCGGGGTTACAGTATTGAGTGAGCAACCAAGCCTGACGCACGCAGCATGAGCTAACAGCACTGCTGTTCAGCTTGTGACCACAGCATCGCCTGAAAATGCCAAATTATACTTGTTCATGCTATTATGTAGCGATGATATTATTACAGAAGACCCCTGACTGTGATAAAACTGACCAGGGTTCTGATAATAGCAGGATTGTGGTGATATTTAGCGCTGTGCGCCATGGAGGGAGGAGTAATGCTGTGGGAGGGAGGGTGGTGGCGATGTCTTTTGACTGTGTGTGGCCACCTTTTATTGACTGCACTCAGCATACCAGCTTAGTGGTTCGCTATGGTGAACACAAATGTAGATACTTTTATATAACGTGTGTATAGAGGGTATAAACAGCAAGAGAAGGTTTGGAGCCGCCATTTTGGTGAGGGCGGTGGCGTCGTCTGCACGATGCCACCGTGCAGACAACGGTGTTGTTTACTGGTTACCACGATGGTCTTTGGGCACCATACCAGTTTATTTGTACAAGTATGGTGAATAAAACAGGTAGATATTTATATATAATGTGTGTATATAGCGTAATAACACCACACAGTATTGTTGGAGGAGAAATATTAGTGCGTCTGGCCTTGAGGGCAGCCGCCGATCAGCTGACTGTGTGAGTAGCTACATCTTTGCGCCTTTACTCACCATACAAGCTTAGATGTACAGTTATGGTGAACAAAACATGTAGATACTTATATATAACGTCTGTATATAGTGAATTATAGCAAAAACATTATTGTGGGAGGAGAATGTGGGTGAGTCAGATGACTGGAGGGAGGGCGGGAGTGGCTGGCTGGTAAACGGCGGTCACTCCTCGTTACTTTTTGACTCATAATAGCTACTTAGTGGTTCGTTATAGTGAACAAAACATGCAGATACTTATATATAACCTGTGCTTATAATGTAATAACCGACAAAGTATTTGTTCACTGATTGATGAACATAATTGAATCAACAATATGCACCATATTTTTGAGTACAGCAATGATTCACTCATTTTATTATATAAATATATCACACTACACACTATTGAATAATATTACAGCAGAAAAAGTATGAAAAATCAATCAGATGCATTGAATATAATTCGGTAATTATCTCTTTGTGGCAATTCCGGCCTGACAGCTTGCGAGCAACAGACTGCCTGGGACGCACGCTGAGTCAGCGCCTATAATTTGCCAGACTTCCCTGCCCTATAGCGGGCAATATATGCCACTTACGATTTTTTATTATTTTTCCCGTGATCAGTGAACACAAATTAACAGGTTAGGAAGAAAAAATAATTTTTTTTTTTTTTCAAAATGACATGCGCCTGTGGGGATGACAGGATATTAAACCCCGAGCATGTTAAGGGTTAATGAAACGCAAACATTATTTTATACAGTATAAGGATTTATTTACTTTAAGAAACGAACTTAGCAACAAATACTAAGTTCTGTACTATATATTGTACTGTACTATATTGGGGGGCTAATACTTAGAACTATGCAGTATTAGGTTGTTTGAGCTAGTTTGGATAGATACTTCAATACTTATTTGCAACACAGTATACTATATTGTACTGTGTATATATTGTATATTGTACTGCATTAATGTTTACACATAAATAAAGTTTAAAAATATATTTTTTTTTTTCAGCCTCCCAGCATAAGTCGTACCTCAGAAATGGCCTGAAAGATGTTCAAACGAGGCTTAGGAAAGGGGAGACAGGGTAAGTTACTACAATACCTTCATTTTCTTTCCTTTCTTTCCTCCCATGCATCGCATGACCTCGTAAGAGATATCCTACCTGAACCCCTGAGCGATTCAGCAGGAATACTCGATCCTGCTTTCGCTGAATATTCAAATCGGAGGGATGCTCTTTGTAGCCCCAGCACCCATCATAGATCCAACAGAGCAACTAACCCACCTCAGAGCAGTGTGCCCCCCATGCAGGAGACTTCCTCTTGGCCGTACCCATGTCGGCCATTGGCACACGTCTAGATCCAGAATCCCTTCATGTAGCAGTGGCCCTCTGCCTTGGTGCCCCAATTCACACTGAATACAAGCTTATTTGCAACAGGGTGGAAGCAGACCAATATGGACTGCATGGGTAGCACTGCAGAAAATCCAAGGGCTGGCATCATTAAGAGGAGCCTCGTCTTGGCTCAGTACCCAGCGGAGAGAGAACCTCGTGACAGAACGCTGAGTGACATACTCGTGTGAACCTCGTGACAGAACGCGCCTTCTAGCTGTGCAAGCTCCCCATGCTGGGGACTTGATATTGGCAGTCCCTAATTCCGTCTTGGGCACCCACCTGGACCATCGGGCCCCGAGTATTGGCGTTGCCCTGTGCCTTACCGCCCCTATCTCCACCGAACACCGGTGTATTTGCGGCTATGCACAGGCAGACCAATATGGCATCCGTGGTCTTGTCTGTCGTAAGACACGGGGAAAGATTGCCAGACATGAAGCAGTCAATGACATCATCAAGGGAAGTTTGTCTACAGCTGGGTGTCCAGCACAAAGGGAACCTCAGTTGTGCAGACCTGTCAAGTCAAAAATGCCCAGATGGAGTCATCCTGCAGCCATGGAGGGAAGATAAACAGGTTGTATGGGATTACAAGTGTGCATCTACATTGGCTGATACCTATCTACCTTACAGCACAGTTGAGGGAGGTGGGGCAGCCACCTTCAGGGAGACCCAGAAAACCAGTGAAGAGCAAGGGTGAAATAGGCATAATTAGAGAGAACTGTATAAACATCAGAGGTCAACAGTTGTTCGACACACTCCCAGCGAGCATAAGAAATATTGCTGGAACAACAGTAGACATCTTCAAGAGGAAACTAGATAGTTTCCTCCAAAGAGTGCCGGACCAACCAGGCTGCGGTGGGTATGTGCGGCCTGTGGGCCGCTGCAAGCAACAGCCTAGTGGATCAAACTGTCATACCTGGCCTCGGTCCAGGCTTGGGGAGTAGAACTCTCAGAACCCCATCAACCAGGTAACCAGGTAACCAAAAAGTACAGAGGTTATCTTGAGATGATTTTGGGGCTTTAGTGTCCCTGCGGCCCGGTCCTCGACCAGACCTCCACCCCCAGGAAGCAGCCCGTGACAGCTGACTAACTCCCAGGTACCTATTTACTGCTAGGTAAATGATCTGCTAAACACCTCAAATGATATGGTGGAAGTGCTAATAGTCAAAATAGAGATCCTAAATGTAGTTGTTGTCCTTGTATATAAGTCACCGGAGGCAAACCCTCAGCAGTTTAAAGACCAACTAATGAAAATAGAACACTGCTTGGAAAACCTCACAAATCCAGCTCCGAACATCATCCTGCTTAGGGACTTCAACCTACGGCACCTGAAATGGAAGCACCTGGCTAATACAGTAATATCAGAAAGAATACCAGGAAGTAGCCTAAATGAACAGGCACATACAAATGACCTGCTACGGATGTGCGATAGGTTTGCCTTAAACCAGCAAATAGTAGAACCAACTAGGAAGGAGAACACGCTGGACCTCATTTTCACTAATAATGATGAGTTGATCGGGAACATAATGATTACAAATACCTGTTACTCAGATCACAACTTAATTGAAGTTCTGACAACCATGGGGAATGGACCTTCAAAACCAGTTCAGATTCCCGGTGGAGGAGATTTCAGCAAATTCAACTTCAATAATAAACAGATAAACTGGGAGCAAATAAACCAGGACTTCACAGAAATAAACTGGGAAGAACAGCTAGAAAATGCAAACCTGAACCAGTGCCTGGAAAATATAAGCTCAGTAGCACTAGAAATATGTTCAAACCGCATACCCCTAAGAAAAAAGAGAAAGAGATGCAGATTGGAACGGGAACGTCGTTCCCTATATAGGCGAAGAAAACGAATCGCGGAACAACTTGAGAGTCGCACCCTATCTCAAGAAAATGGCGAAGAAGGTTAGGTGGAGAAATAGAAACAATTGAACTCAAGCTACAAGAATCATACAAAACCCAGGGGAGGCAAAGAGAGCAAAAGGCCATCAGTGAAATAGAAAGAAATCCGAAATATTTTTTCTCCTATGCAAAATCATGATCAAAAACCACATCTAGTATCGGGCCCCTGCGAAAGGGAGATGGAACTTTCACCGATGACAACAAAGAAATGAGCGAGTTACTGAGGAAGCAGTACGACTCTGTTTTCAGCGAGCCATTAAATGCACTAAAGATTGATAACACAAATGAATTTTTCATGGATATGATACCAACATCAAATCATATATCAGACGTCGCCCTATCCCCACTAGATTTTGAAGAAGCCATAAACAGTATGCCTATGCACTCTGCACCAGGCCCGGATTCTTGGAACTCCATATTCATCAAGAACTGTAAAAAAAACCACTATCGCAGGCCCTTCACATTCTGTGGAGACAAAACCTAGATACTGGCGTTATCCCTGACATACTAAAAACAGAAGAGATAGCACCACTCTATAAAGGAGGAAATAAGGCAGAGGCAAAAAATTACAGACCGATAGCACTAACATCGCACATCATAAAAAATTTTGAGAGAGTGCTAAGAAGTAAGATCACAAAATACATGGAATCACAGCATCTCCATAACCCTGGACAACATGGTTTCAGTCAGTCCCCCAGGGTACTGTGCTTGCTCCAGTACTTTTTCTCATCCTCATATCGGACATAGACAAGAACACAACCTATAGCACTGTATCATCCTTTGCAGATGACACTAGGATTTTCATGAGAGTTGGCAACATAGAGGACACGGCAAACCTCCAATCAGATGTAGATCAGGTCTTTCTATGGGCTACAGAAAATAATATGGTGTTTAACGAGGATAAGTTCCAGCTCATGCGCTACGGAAAAATTGAAAATATAAAAACAGAAACCACGTACAAAACTCAGGCAAATCATAACATAGAACGAAAAGGCAATGTAAAGGATCTGGGTGTACTCATGTCGGAAGACCTTACCTTTAAAGAACACAATAAAGTAGCCGTCACAACTGCAAGAAAAATGACAGGTTGGATAACAAGAACTTTTCACACTAGAGATGCTATACCGATGATGATACTTTTCAAAACGCTTGTGCTCTCTAGAGTGGAGTACTGCTGCACAATGACAGCCCCTTTCAAAGCTGGAGAAATTGCTGACCTAGAGAGCGTGCAGAGATCCTTTACTGCTAGAATCCACTCAGTAAAACATCTAAATTACTGGGACCGACTAAAGAGCCTAAATCTGTACTCCCTTGAGCGCAGGCGGGAGAGATACATAATAATTTACACGTGGAAAATAATTGAGGGGCTGGTCCCAAACCTGCACACAGAAATAACACCACATGAGACCAGAAGACATGGCAGGATGTGCAGAATACCCCCGTTGAAAAGCAGAGGTGCAACAGGTACTCTGAGAGAGAACTCTATCAACATCAGAGGCCCGAGACTGTTCAACACGCTTCCACTACACATAAGGGGCATAACTGGCAAACCCCTCACAGTGTTCAAGAGAGAACTGGATAAGCACCTCCAAAGGATACCTGATCAACCAGGCTGTGACTCATACGTCAGGCTGCGAGCAGCCGCGTCTAACAGCCTGGTTGATCAGTCCAGCAACCAGGAGGCCTGGTCGACGACCGGGCCGCGGGGACACTGAAGCCCCGGAAGCACCTCAAGGTAGCCTCAAGGTATTGTTCAACAAGGGTCGCATAAGGCCCATCACTGTCTCAACTGTTGTCTTGCCCACTCCAGAATAAACCTCGAAATCAATAATATAACCAGTCCCTGCCTCAGCAAGCATGTACAACTTTACCCCATACTTATCAGGCTTATTGGGGTTGTAAACCTTGAAGGATAGACGACCACGCCACGACATTGTACCTTCATCCAAACTGAGTGCTTGATTGGGGACGTAGTAAGAGCCAAATTTGTTGGTCAAATAGGTAATGATGGTGCTGAGTTTTATCATGCGGTTCTTGTTGTTGGGTGGAATTGCAAACTGGCTATAAGTATGAAAAAACTGGGCAATATGTTGGAATCGTTTTGCAGTCATGAACACATTGCAGGTCCTCATATGCCACAACCGGCTTGTTTGCCAGTACATGCGCATTGTTGGGAGTCGTGCAATACCCATCAAGATTGATAAAGCCAAATACCTTGCCATTTCCTTCGCAGATACCTCCTTCCACAACCTCATAGTGCGCCTGGAAGCATTCTGAATAAATTGCCTGGCATACCTGTTAGTTTCCACTGTGATGAACTCAATTAGGGCACGGGTCAGAAATAATTGAACAAATTGCAGGGGGGTAATTGGCACTGGGACAGTTATGCCTGGTGTGGCACTGAAACTGCCTACAATAGGTGGTGTATTGTCAGTTGACCAGGCAGCATCGGGATTAGGCTGTTGAAGACGTCCTGCACGCCTCCTTACAGGTGCCTTGGGGCGGCCCACATCCGCTGCCTCATCCTCAATCCCCTCGCTACTCTCCTCACTCGATGATGAATCAAACTCATCAGACGACGCTGTCCCCTCATTATCACTACTGAAATCACTCTGACGCTCTTCCCCTTCAGCATCTGCCTCCACATCTGACAAACGATTCAACAAATCAGGAATTTTACTAGGGGTAAGCTTCACATTGCTGAACCTTTTGTACAGCTCACTCAACTTATCTTCCGTGGTCATTTCACTATCCTTCTTGGGGGTAGAGGTGCTCTGTCCTTTACCACGATCCATGTTTGCAAGTAATAATGCGTTGTAAAGAGACAGGAACGAATAAACACTGCTACACAGGGCAGAGAGTGGCACAGGTTCTGGACGCAGGAGCGCGGTAGTCCGGTCACGAGAGACGTAAACAAAGGACTAGGCCGACCGCATGGCGTGACCCAGAATCCCATGCGGCCTACGGAGGATTGTGGGAAAACAATGGCGCTCATTTAAAAAAAAAATTGAAGATCGCATAGAAACTTTTTTTTTTACAAATTTTTATATCAAGTGACGCACCGATGCGTCACTGGAACACATTCAGTAGAAAAATGAGTGACGAGATATTAAGTCTGTGGAACGCGAAAGTGTTAACAGTTGAGAGGCGGGATCAAAGAGCCAAAGCTCAACCCCTGCGCGCACAACTAGGCGAGTACAGCACTATACCTATTAAAATTTTCCTGTAACACCAAACGTGCATACATTCTTATCCTCATCTAAAGAAATTACTGTATGAAGGAATGAATAATACCCAGAGTAGAAAAATGAGGTCCATACAGCAAAAACAACTGGTTGGGACTGTATTCTAGGCTGAGTAACATCAAGCTCTATGAATGCTCCAAGGCCCCTATCTATCTTTGTCTTGTATACTTTCTGTGGCATGGATAAGCTTGTAATTATTCCTGAAGCTGTCAAAACTGGATTATCTTTGTATATTCGTTGACTTAACCCTTGACCCCTTCACCAAGTTGATGCTTTTCTTCACATGGTCTTGGACCTCCGCTCAGGAGCCTTCCATTTTTTCCCAGCCAAGAGCTTGTGCAATAAGTAAAAACATGTTCCTTCACAAGACTCGTGGTCGTATTACCTCCGATACTTCATGTGGATTCTACAATGCCCCCACTCATGCTTGCACCACACCTTGACTCCTACCTGCATTGAAAGTCCTGCTTACTCTTGTAAAGTTCTAATCTTTATGGTAAAGAGCTATACCCCATTTAATGTTCTAAAAATTTCAGGATAGAAAATCATATTTTCCCAGTGTTTCTTTGTGTTTTGTCCCTTGAATATGACATCCTTGACATTGTTTCTTATGTCTTTTTGCCCTTGTATTGGTATATAAGGAATTTGTAATATTCTGTGACTCAGTTTTATAAAAATCTTTACAGGATTGTGATCTTTGCTGGAGATGTCTCGCCTATTGAAATTATGTGCCATCTTCCTGCTGTTTGTGAAGAAAAGCAGCTGCCATACATTTATACGCCTTCAAGGCAAGATCTTGGATCTGCAATGGGAGTTAACAGAGCTGCGCTTGCTGTCCTTATTCGTGAAAACAGTGAATATAAAGAATTGTATGACAAGGTATTAGAAGATATCAACAAGGTTCCAAAAGTATTTTAGGATTTGTAGTTTTATACAATTTTCTATCATTTAAGGTATATTTGAATTATTATGAGAATGTTTGTTAACAATAAAGATTACGCTTTGTAAGAGGAAGGAATGATTATTTATCCTCTTTGGGTATATATTCTTATTATAGTACTTGCAATAGTCTGGATGAGCACCACCTTTGTATCTTGTTTCCTTCTGCTTGTTGTACTCTGAATTCCCACTTCCTCATGCTCCATGTTTGGCTTTTCTCTCCTACTTTCAAATTCATTCCAATGTACATTCTTCACAAGTCATGTCATTGTTTGTTTGTTTGCTATGACCAGGTCATCTTGGTCTACTGATGCGAATTTCAATTTCATTCCTTTTTCTTTTCCTAACAAATGATTCTATTTCCAAGGCTTTAATTCTTAAATTTGTATGTTTATGTAAATAAGCCAGGTCAAGTTATACAAGTGCCCATGCTATACATGGGTATTTTTTATGGGTATTCATAATTTGTTGTAATGACTCAACCTATGGGACAGTACAGTAGTGTAGACTTGCTCGCAGCATAAACAATGTGGAATAAAGTAAGTTCTTTGCATTATGGATCTCATCTGATCCTGATATATATACAGTTGTGGGCAAGTCCCTTTCAAGAGTGTGTGGGGGGGGGGGTATAACTTTGTAACACTGATTTTCGAGCTGCCAAGATGTTTCAAGAATTACCACATTTTGCTTTTACATTATCAGCAAAGTAATATTTGAATTATATTGTTGAGGAAAACTTTACTTTATTAATATTTTTAATGAATGGCTATGTGATATAAATCTTTTTCCCGGTGAATTGAAGCATATGATCAAATAGAATCCTAGAAGCATGTAGCACAAACTGTAGCTACCATTTACAATAGTAAACAAGCAACATTTAATGAGGTAAAACTGACTGTTCAAGTGGTTTGGCACCATTTCTATCCCCCGTCCCATCCCAAATCCTTATCCAGAACCCTTCCAAGTGCTATATAGTCGTAATGGTTTGGCGCCTTCTCCTGATAATTAAATAAAAAAAAAAGTGCCATGGATTACGATTAGATCTTCAAACAGATTGCTATATTTTGTTAATGTTTAGACAGTTATATAATTGCTGTTTATTTCATTAAGCATGTCTAGTAGTTGCATACCACTGCGTTTTTTTTTACTGCGAATGTCCTTACAGGTATGTGTGTTTAATATTGAGCTGTTTTATTAGCTAATAAAACTGCAAACGGCTTCTGAATCCTTTCTGGCTATAGGAAAAGGGGAGGGTGTGAGAGAGCGAGCAGTAGAAGTAGGCAGTTATATGATTTGAAATTAAAGGAAAAAGATTGTTTTAGAATTGGTGATAAGATTATAATAGCTGTATATTTTACTACAAATTATTGGGCCAATTCCCATTTAGTTTCTTAAATTTCTTTTCTGAACCAAATCTAGTAGTTACTTAAGTGTAGTTACAGGATGAGTGTGCGCTCGTGGTGTCTGCCTCCCAGCTATGTCATATAATACTTTGAAACCACTGACGGTTTTGACCTCCACCTCACATGTTCAAACCATTCAGTTTGTGAAAGTGACATAATAGAGGTAGGATCCCTTGATTGTTTCAAGCGTACGTTAGACATATATCTGTATATGAATGAGTATGGGTGGATATTAATAGGAATTGCCTCGTACGGGCCAATAGGCCTTCTGCAATTACCTTCATTATGTTCTTACTCCTCACCTAATTGTATGTATAGGTTATTGTCCTATGTCTCTTACCTTTTATACCTCACCTATTTGTATGTACCTGACCTCCCAGTGGTATAAGTCCAATGCACCCTGTCCTGTTCCCTTACGGGCTCACCATAGCCCGTGCTACATGGACATTTCGTTTTGAGTAGTTATATCGAAAACAGTCCATGGAATTGGCCGAAGAACTGTGTGTACCACTGAAACTCCTTTTGGAAAAATCACTGGATCAATGGAAAGCCCTCTATATTGGAAATATGCAAACATCCCTATCTAGAAATCGCCCCCCCCCCCCCCCCCTCCAAAAAAAAAAAAAAAAGGCAGGTAACTACCGACCAATCAGCCCAACTTCACCCATCTAAATTCATAGAGAGAATCCTAAATGAGGAATCATTCAGCATCTCTCAGTACATAATATCTAATAATATCAACACAGTATGGTTTTAAAAATAAATCTTGTTACCATTTTTGAAAACTGTAACCAACTGTTTAGACAAACGGCTTTTTTTGGCATTCGATAAGGTACATACTGTATATGAAAGACTGCCAAGGAAATTACAAGCACGTGGAATAAATGGTAAAATACTAGAATAGACAAAACAATAGTTAGAACAAAGAAAGCAATGGGTCATCCTAAATGGAAATTAATCTGACTGGGAAAATGTGGCAAGTGGAGAATGCAAGGTTCATCTCTGGTTCATACGAGTGGTGATCTTGCTGAAATCAACAATTTTAGATCCATATCATTCCTGCCCTTCTTGTCAAAATTTTTGAAAAACTAGTGTACAAACAACTTTATTCACACCCAGTAAACCCATTATATTTGTTTCTTGCTAATGTGGCTTCAAACCCCATGAAAGTATCAACGATAATATTTAATTAACATACTTGACCTACTACATGCAGCGCTTAATAAAAATGAATGTCCCATAACTTTATATATTTACTTGCATAAAGTTTTTGACGAAAGTGTTAACTACAATAACCTCCATCTCAAACTACAAGACTATGGGATCAGAGGTCACTCCCATCAATAAATGAAATATTCCCTCAGTAAGAGGAAGTATGTTTCTGTGAACGATGTTGCTTGTCCACAGTCCACTCCTCTTTCTCATTTACATAATTATGATCCAAATGCTACTCAACACTTGAAACCAATTCTATTTGCTGCTGACTCAACCTTTACTTTCTCCCACGTTTACCCATTTTATATGACGCCATTCAGTTTAACCTAAGAAATAACAATACCGAAATTAAAAGCAGAATAGATGGGGAAGTCCTTGCTGTTCACATTGCATGGGGTGCATAATAAATTAACTAAGTGTTTACAGTGACAAAAAGACGAATTTATATTGACACACAAAATATACCAAAAAGTTTCTAAAACAGTAAGCGTGTTCTTCAAAATCAGATACATATTCGCTCATTTATTAGTACCTGACCTACGGTAGCTGTGCCAGGGTATTTACAACCCTAAATCAGCAATTAGAACAATAATAAACTCCAGTCCTAGACAGCATTTGGCTCCCTAACTTAAATCTTTGAATATGTTAAGCAACATGTTGCTACACATCCTCTCAAATGTGTTCTAAACAGTGGTACCTCTGTTTTTGAATTTAAACAGTTCCTAGAGACGGTTAAAAAACCGGAACAAATTTTCCCCATGAGAAATTATGTAAATTTAACTAATCCGTTCCAAACCCCCCAAAAATATTTACTTAAAAATACATTTTATATATACTACTAATATTTTGTGCTAAAGTATACATAGCCTTCCCGGTTTGGTGCCTTCTTTTGATAATTACTTACTTACTTGTGCTAAAGTATGTACAAGTATATCTTACCTTTATTGAGGACTGACTCTTGTTGGCATATGGAAGACAGTGAGGAAGGGGGGAGGAGGAGAGGTGTTAGTCTTTGGAAGGGGCAGTCCCCTTCCATTATAACAGCAGTGATTACATTTTCGACGTACTCACATTTTGCAGGCATACCACTAGGACAAGGTTGTGGCTCACTGCTTGCTTGTCTTACTAAGAATCTGTCTATAGACACTTGTTTTTCCCTACACTTTAACACTTGTCTGTAATGAGACATCACATTGTCTCACTATGAATGATCTCTTGTTTTTCCTCTTATTACCATCCTCACAACTACTTTCTTAGGTTGAACTCTAGCACTGACTTTCTTTTAACCCATAGCATGATATATAATAAGAACTTTTATGTTCAGAAACAAAAAATGCATAAAAACAATGAAGTTCTTAACAAAGAATTCAAGCGCGGTCGTCGCTAGGCGGAAGAAACTGGTAAACTGAAGTGCGCCACGTGCTCGGGTGCCCATACGTGCATTAACAAACTCGAGGCAAACCTCAAATACAGAGTCTAGTTTTTCTGAGAAATTGAGCTCGAGAATCAAAAAATTTGAAAACCGAGGTTCCACTGTATCTATAAAACTTTGAACTGCACTGTTAATCCTGACCTAAGCGCTTCCTAGAGAACTGTAGCATGGGTACCACGTGAGAAACAAATATCGTTTCGATATTCCCAGAGTGAGAGACTACCAAAGCAGAAATGGTTTGCAAATCAAACGTCCCAAATTGTGGAATGACCTCCCAAATGTGATTAAAAGTTGTACGTCTCCCAACCAGTTTAAAAGAAAAGCCAAGATTAAATATCTACTTAACATTATGTAACAAATTTCACTTGAATCTCCTCATTCAAAGAAGACATTGCTGTATATATGTTTAGCTGTTATTTTAAATTTTATATACAGTACTAAAAATGTAGTCCTATGCCTATCATTAAATGTCTACATCATTTGCTAAATGATGTAGACATCATTTGTAAATGAACATTTTCAAGTTTTATATGTTAGTTTATTTCTTGTTTATTATTATTATGTGTTTACCCCCATACTTTAAGTTTTTAATGATTTATGTTATGGCCAGAACTCCTATACATTAGTGCCTTTACTAACAGAAAATTGCAACTTTGTATATTTTAGGTTATTACTAATGTTAAATGCTACAGTATATTTGTAGTGTTGCTAAAACTACATATTGATACTCTGATGTATAGTAGTTGACTATGCCTATCATCATTAAATATAACCCTTATTTATATTACTTATCATTTGCAAAGTTTCTTGAATGTGTTATAATTCTTGAACACATGTGTTAGCTTCTGGTTTAGTATTAACTACTTACCACGTTATACCCATACAAAAATTAACAGAATTATTCGAAGGTTTGCCTGAAATGCTTAATTTGCCCATAATATAGTGGCTTTATTTAATATGCAAATATACCCCCCTGTATTGTATTGTTACATATGCATATTTTGCCAATAAAATAATACTATTGA